CGGACCTCGGTCGTTTCGTTTGGTGATATTATTATTTTTTTATTAAGCAGGGATTAAGGATATTTTCTTTTTGATTAGTAGGTCAAGCGCGTGTGTGGAGAAACGACCCCGACGACGGCATCGGCAATAACGGCGCGATTTCGTGCGGTAAGCGGGGTGTCGTAGGATGGCGCGCGGGGTAGTTATGGCATGGTATAAGCAAACTGGCGCGGGCAAATGGGAGCCGCGCAGCCTTTTGGTTGGCCCAAGAGCGTCGCGCCACACTGCCTATATGGTATTCTGCGGGACTCAGCCCCAGGCTTGGGCTTAGCCCTTAAGGTTACGGCATCGGACTATTACTACGGAGGTTCGGGGATCGAGGCCGGCGGGCGTCGGCCTGAAAGCAGCAAGCGGCGCGGAGGAAACCGAGGGGTTGAGGGCCCGACGGGGCTTTCCCCCTCGGATTTTTGCTGGCGAGAGCGGCGGCGGGCCTGCCCCTCGGGACTGGTAAGTTATCAGCAGCCCCGCTGATCCTCACTACTATTAAGTTATTTGTATTTTTTTTTTTCGTTTTATTATTTTCGGGTCCTTGTGGTATCGCATCCCATTCAGGGACACGAGGCTGCGATAAAGTCACATAGGGAGTGTTGCATTCGCGGGGGGGGGGGTGCATGAAGTGCAATTACAAATTGTTTTTGTGGCTGCGTCGAAGTCGCGCCTCGTCTTCTCTTAGGACGCGGCGCCGTGTGCGCGGTCGGCACTCAAAGGCCCATCTCAGAGGGTACACCATTGAACTGTTGAACTACAGACCTGTATTTAAGCCCAGATGATGGAACTCGATGAATAGGACGAGTTATTTTGAATTGGCCTGAGGGTGTTTGAGTTCGGAAGGGCCGTAGGGCAATGCCACAGTGGAGGTCCTTCGGGACATCTGGTAAAATTGGAACGATACAGAGAAGATTAGCATGGCCCCTGCGCAAGAACGATAGGCATAAGCTGGCTGGGACCGGCAGCCGATTGCTTCCTTCGGCATTTGGATGTTGTCGGACCACGCAGTGACAAAAGGGCAAGGTCGGTGGGCTGGCAGGAACGGGAGGGCGAGCCAAGGCCGGACCGCTGTGCTATCGAACCCTGTGCTGACCGTAACAGGCCGCTACGGGGCAAGGGGGGGGGGAATGAGCAAAGCTAAGAAAGTGAACCCGGGCATGGTGCACAACCGGGTGTACGTAGAATATAGCATGGCTAGGTGAGATAGAGAGTTAGCAGGGACTGCGACGAGCCAGCGAGGGGGAAGCTCGCAGCGATACTGGTGTGCAAATCATCTTGTCAGGCTTGAATATAGGGGCAAAAGACCAATCGAACCGTTTAGTGGCTGGTTCCTTCTGAAGATTCAGCAGATCGGACCTCGTTTCCTACAACCGCCTTTTACTGCCTGTATCGTTCGACAGCGTTGTGGTGTCCACTTTGGAGCGCTAAGGCTGTGGGGAGCTGCGTTAGCAGCAGGAGGCTGTGGGCCAGGCGCTGAGCAGTCGGCTGCGGTGGGGGAGTGGCGCTAGGTGGTGTTAGTCGGGAGAAAGAGGAGACGAATCCGGACGGTGGTAGGCGTCGGGTGCATTCGGAGATAGTAATGGCGGATGGCAAGGCAGTGCATGGTCAACCGTAAGGAAGCAGGAGAGAGACTGCGGACGGCTAGCAAGCGAGGCGGCAAGCGAGGCGCTAGGCAGTGAGTGGGAGCAGACAAGCTGCAGAGGGAGAATGCACTCGGACGCTATCTGCGTCCCRATTCATTCGCAGGGGTGCAAACGATAGGAGG